AATAGAAATAAAAGCAAAAATAAACAAATGAGACTAATCAAATGTATAAGCTTTTGCACAGCAAAGGAAACCATAAGTAGAACAAAAGGACAACCTACAAAATGGGAGAAAATATTTCCAAACAACGAGACCAACAAAGGATTTCCAAAATAAACAGCTCAGTACAGTTCAGTTCAGTCGCTGTCATGTCCAGCTCTTTGCAACCCCATGGACTGCAGCATGCCAGGATTCCCTGTCCATCACCAACTCCCGGAGCTTGCACAAACTCATGTCCATCAACTCGGTGATACCATCCAACCATCTCATCCTCTGTCGTCCCCTTCTCCTCCCACCTTTAATCTTTCCCAGCATCAGGGTCTTTTCAAATGAGTCAGCTCTTCGCATCAGGTGGCCAGAGTATTGGAGTTTCAGCTTCAGCATCAGTCCTTCCAATGAACACCCAGGATTGATCTCCCTTAGGATGGACTGGTTGGATCTCCTTGCAGTCCAAGGGACTCTCAAGAGCCTTCTCCAACACCACAGGTCGAAAGTATTAGTGTTTCCGCACTCAGTCTTCTTTATGGTCTAACTCTCACATCCATACATGACTACTGGAAAAACCACTGCTTTGACTAGTTGGACCTTTGTTGGCAAGGTAATGTCTCTACATTTTAATATGCTGTCTAGGTTGGTCAAAGCTTTTCTTTCAAGGGGCAAGCATCTTTTAATTTCATGACTGCAGTCACCATCTGTAGCGATTTGGGAGCCCAAGAAAATAGTCTCTCAATCTTTCCATTGTTTCCCCATCTATTTGCCAAGAAGTGATGGGACCGAATGCCATGATCTTAGTTTTTTGAATGCTGAGTTTTAAGCCAGTTTTTTCACTCTCCTCTTTCACTTTCATCAAGAGGCTCTTTAGTTCCTGTTCACTTTCTGCAATAAGGGTGGTGTCATCTGCATATCTGAGGTTATTGATGTTTCTCCCAGAAATTTGATTCCATCTTGTGCTTCATCCAGCCCAGCATTTCACATGATGTACTCTGAATATAAGTTAAATAAGCACAGTGACAATATACAGCCTTGACGTACTCTTTCCCAATTTGGAACCAGTCCATCATTCCATGTCTGGTTCCAACTGTTGCTTCGTAACCTGCATACAGATTTCTCAGGAGGTAGGTAAGGTGGTCTAGTATTCCCATCTCTTTAAGAACTTTCCACAGTTTGTTGTGATCCACAGTCAAAGACTTTGGCACAGTCAATAAAGCAGAAGTAGATAAACAGCTGATACAACTCAATAACAGCGACAACAACAAACATCCAATCAAAAAAAAGGGGCAAAACACCTAAATCGACATTTCTCCAAAGACATACAGATGGTCAATAAGCACATGAAAAGATATTCAACATCACTAATTACTAGAGAAATGCAAAAAAATTACAATGAGGTATCACCTCAGACTAGTTAGAAAGGCCATCATCAAAAGCCTACAAATAATACACGTCATTGAGGGTGTGGAAAAAAAGGAGCCCCCCTACACTGTTGGTGGGAATGTAAATCGGTGCAGCACCATGGAAAAGGATATGGATGTTCCTTGAAAAACTAAAAATTGCCATAAGATCCAGCAATCCACCCCTGGGCATATATCTGGAAAAAATACTAATTCAAAAAAATGCATACATCCCAATGTTCATAGCTGCACTATTTTCAATCGACAAGACATGGAAGTAACCTAAATGTCAACAGATGAATGGATAAAAATGTGGTATATACATATATACAATGGAATACTACTCAGTCATTAAAAATGAAGTAATGCCATTTGCAGCAATATGGATGGGTATAGAGATTATCATACTAAGTAGCCAGAAAGAGGAAGACAAGTATGATATCACTTATATGTGTAAAATAAAATATGACAGAAGTGAATTTATTTACAAAACAGAAACAGACTCATAGATATAGAAAAGAAACTATGGTTACCAAAGGAGAAAGGGGGTAGGTGGAGGATAAATCAGGCATTTGAGATTAGTAGACACAAGTTATTATATATAAAATAGATAAGCAGGGTCCTACTGTTTAGCACAGGGAATTATATTTGATATCCTATATCCTATAATAATAATGGAAAAGAATATTAATAAATATATGTGTATAACTGAGTACTTTGCTGTATACCAGAAACTAATACAATATTATAAATTGACTATACCTCAATAAAATAATAATAATAATATCAAAATGAATTAATCTGCTACATAATGTGGGAAAAAAACTAGGCTCCACAGCAAAATAACTTGCATGAGCTGGAGCACAGGCTCAAAAAGAAACAAAAAACAAAAATCAACTTCCAGAGTCCCTTCCTAAACAGAACATACAATGATTAAAATGTTAAAAATACAGGACAACACTATCATGTACTTACAAGACTTAAAGAAGACAAATAGAAAGATTCAGATAAATTACTTGCTAGTGAGCATGTTACAAACACTCATTTTTAGGTTATGCTCATTTTAACTGGTATATTTCATAACAGTAAATATTTTAATGCTAAGAAAGCAATTTATACTGAGAAGCCCATCAGACTGACTTGTGAGAAACACTCTGAGTTGCACATCTTCCCATAGATTAAGGCAGGTGTGCCCCCAGGTAACTTACAGGTGGTAGAGTGGAAATCATTGTTCCATCAAGGGAGTGTAACATAAAGCAATGAGAGACATCCCCCTCTGGTATGCTGAGGGTGACTGGGTAATCACTGAGAACCAACTACTTTAACAGAACAAGAATTTGGAGAAACTAAGGAGGAGACTCTAGACCAGACAAAGAAAGGCCTAAAATAAAAGGAGGGCTTCCTAGGTAGTGCTAGTGGTAAAGAACCTGCCTGCCAATACAGAAGACATGAGAGATATGGGTTCGATCCCTAAGTCTGGAAGATCTACTAGAGGAGGAAATGGCAACCCACTCCAGTTTTCTAGCCTGGAGAATCCCATGGACAGAGGAGCCTGGCGGGCTACAGTCCATAGGGTTGCAGAGTCGGACATAACCAAAGCAACTTGGCACATGTGCAAGGTAAAAGAATCTTGTTCTCCTATGTCCTATTTTAAATATGAGTGGCTCTACATTTTATGTATGGGTAATTCAGATGGAAGTGAAATACCTATTGAGTTTACTTCTCATGTATAAAACCATTCCCCCAGAACTCAGCATTATTCAATTCTAGGCCTCCCAATTCTAGTAGAATCCATTCTGTGTTTTAAAAGCTTACCCATACAGAAGTTTTTCTAATACATAGATTTATTTCCCAATAACTCAATCCAAGGGAAATTCATCTATTCTCCCTTTCAAAGTAGGTTAGTTCTCTGCCACTAGTTAATGTTTTTAATTTTTTACTAATAAATTATGGAGCAAAAAATTAACTACCATTATTAATAAGGTAATTAAATCAAAAACATTTCATGAGCTACTCAAATATATAAAGTCTATGGCTCCATCTGCAGATACATCATAAATTGTAAAAATCTGGTAGATGCAAAAAAGTCCAAGTTTATTTTCTAAATGAAAGTAGTAAAAAAACCTTATGAGAGAAAATATGTTCCCTGCACTCAAGCAATTAGCCTCCAATTACAAGCAAATGAGATGACTACATTTCTGCTTTGTAAAAAGAAAATAAATAATCAATTAAGCTTGAGACTTAAGTGACAACTCAGTACAGCACAGATATATATAAAATAATCAATTTTACAGCACACATGTAATACCTGTCATCTTAGATACTCATAATTAGAAACATGAAGGAATAAATTTAATTGGTTTCCCAAGAGTTTACAGAAGATGAGTTAGCGAATTTCAAAAGAAGGAAATAAGAGATGGAATTAGCAAATTATTAATAGAAAATATTCATTTTAGGGAATTCTCTGGTGGCCCAGTGTTTAAGACTTCACACTTTCACTTGTCTAGAGACCTGGTTCAATTTCTTGTCTGGGAATTAAAATCCCACAAACCACATGGCATGGCCAAAATCAAACAAACAAATAAGAATTTTCATTTTATCCCAGAATTCTGTGGTATCTTTCCGGCTTCCATCACCATGTGAATTATATTAAATCCCCATGTGTATAAATTGGCATGTACTTGAAAGGGCATTTTGAAATGTCTGGAGAATTTTTAATTGGACATGTCCTTTAACCCAGGAACTCTATACTTCCAAGAATCATAAATGATTATACACAACAAATGTGTACAGTAACGGTCACAGCTGCACTGTTTATAATAAACAATAACCTAAATACATCTATACTATGGAATATTATAACTGTTCAAAAGAATGAGGAAGAGCTACTGTGTCATATGAAAAATTATATACATTAAATGAATTAAAGTTACGTAACACTTGTTATACAAAAGATAAATAACATTTTTTACAGGATGCCAGTTTTCAAAGCAATTACAAGTATGCTTATGCATGCACAGAAAATGTTTGGAAAGATATACAAGAAGCTGTCACAATAGTTACTTCTTTGGAGTAGCACTAAAAAGGGCTATGGAGTTTTAGTATTTATTTAATAATGAGCATGTCTTACTAAATTAAACCATCCTTAAAATTCTTAATTCCCCATGAGGAATATTCATGGTCCAAATTTAGTAAGTTTCAGTTTAATTCCTATCCTGAATTCTTCCCCCTCTGATTTAAAGCTTTCAAATTCCCTGGCAGTCCAGTGGTTAAGGCTCCATGCTTCCACTGCAGTCGTTTGATCCTCGTCAGGGAACAAATCCTACATGTCAAGTGGCACAGCCAAAAAAAACTAATAAATAAAGCTTTCAAATTTAATAGAATCTAATCTATATACACTAGTTGGCAAACCATCTGACAAGCTAACCTAAATTTAAACTACAAAATAATAAACCACTCAAAAAGCTAAAGCTATTCATGACGGTCATCTCCTTTATCTCATATCCATACTCAACAACTAAACTTCCAAAAAGGTGGGTTAGAGAAAATGCAAACATTTGTACACATTCTTACATGTTCTATAGCCCCCGCCTGTCCATTACTATATTCTCGATAATGTCCAAGCATCTGGTCGACTTGTCGCAGGTTCCGACTGGTGTCCTAAAAAAAAGTGGGCTTTATTAATTGCTCCAAATGATGTTTCCCCCAATCTTAGCAGTATATCAAAGAACTAGGTCAACTGTTTGCAAAAGCTACAACTGATACAGTAATTAAGTTGGACATCAATATACTTCATAAATATGAAATATGAAGTATAGTAACACTGATCTTATTAACACTGATAAAGTGTTAATTTATCTTATTAACACTGATAAAGAAATTCAAGCCCATCTGCAATTTACTCATGTGAAATCTGAAACAAATGATTTCAGTCCTTATCCAAGGCTCCGTAACAAGCTGGAAACAAAACCATAAATTGGATAAGAATCCTCATCATCAATTTGTGCACCTCAACAATTTGTATACTTCACCCCCTTTTTATAGAAGAGAAATCCTGAGAAAAATGTAGTAGATTGTGTTCAAGACAAGCAAATCACTAGGATCAATGTTATTTCAATTACTTACCTTAGAACTCGATTAAGAGAAAACAAAGTAGCCTTTAACTTGTATCTATAAACAAATTTGTTTCTAATTACAATAAAAATGGTTTCCACGAAATTTGCTAGGTTTCACCTGAAAGGTGAATGAAGGCATTTTTCAAAAATATATACTTAGTAATATGTTTCATTAGTGGAAAAGTACAAGAATCTGCACTGCAAAAACCCAGTATTATGTTAATTTAAATAAGTTTCAAAAGAAATAGGTTTCTGAGTTTTAAAGCATATTATGGTTTCTCCACCAGAAATTAGCCTATTTTTAATCTAAGCATAATAACTCAAACCAATCGAAAGCCAAAATCCATGGTTACTCAGGCAAAACAGAAGTAACAGATTAAAGGATAGGAAAAAAATAATTCTATTGGAGTTTTCTTTTTCCCCAACATGATACCCTTCCCCCACTTCATTATCAAAACCCTTTCTATGGAGGGCATATAAAATGCGCACTCTAATTTCCAAACACTGTCAAAAACTAGCCTCTAAATAAAAATGGCATCTCATTATCATTCATCCATGAATAATTTACTGACCCAAAATAGGAACAACTTCTCTAAAGACACATGTCCACAAGAAGCTAAACTATGGTAATTCCTACTGGCTTCAATCCCACAGTATTTTAAGTACTTGGAAATACTACTTTATCCCAAGATATTTCCACAACCTATCAGATATTTCAAGTATCTTTACTGACTGTGTTAGGCAGAATAATGGTCCCAAAAATGTCTAGGTCCTAATCTCTCAAACCTGTATATATGTTCCCTTATATGGCAACAGGGATTTTGCAGATATAACTAAATTAAGGACCTTGAGACAGGAAGATTATCCTGGATTATGGGGTGAACCCAAGGTACTCACAAGGAGCCTTAGAGGGAAGCATAGTAACATGATGTAAGAAGGGTCCAACCCACCCTTACGGCTTTGAAGAGTAAGGGAGGGGCTACAGGACCAGGAATTTCGGCAGCCTCTAGAAAAGGCTGGAAAAGGAACAGATATTTCCCTAGGGCCTCCAGAAAGGAATGCAGACCTCCTGATATCTTGCTTTTAGCCCAGTGAGACCACTGTCAGATTTTGACCTTCAGAACCATAAGAAAATAAATTTCTGGGTTTTTTAGACAATAGTTTTATGGTAATTTGTTACTGTGGCATAAAAAACTAATACACTGACTTAAGCCATTTCCTCACTTACCCTAATTAAAACCTACCACATGCTGCCACCGCTAAACTGACCTGTAAAGTACTGGTGATCGTGTTGACCTTCTCCGTGACACCCACAGCAGGACGATGTCGAACTTCCCTGTGTACTGAACTGGCAGCCCATCGACTCAATCGGTCACGAGAGCAGAAGTGGTCTGAATCGCTGGAGGATTCTGCCATTGATGTACAAAAATCCTTAAAAATAAATCCAGGTCAAGGTCAATCAAATGGTAAAGAGCAGAGAAATAGGAGATTATTTTAACGTTTATTTGCTTTTTGATCTTAAGTATTTATTACCTTAGTCTTTCGCCATATCATAATTTCTAACACAGCTTGAAAACACAAGTCATTTCCACATGCAACTCTCTCCCCTTTGTCTTTTCTGCTTTATGAGCAATTCCTCAGATATTTACAACTCCAAATAATAATAATCACTTAGTTTTGTGCAAAGCTCCTAAATTTTCCAAAAATACAGTATCTCATATAACCCTACCAACAACACTGTATATGAGGCATGTGAGACATACAGATTAGTATCTCTACAATGAAAGAAGAAAAAAAAAACACAGATATTCTCTAAAGTAGGACCAGTAGGTCTCAATATCCATCTGACTTCCATTCTGCTAAGCTATGAGGACATGGGTATCTTTAAATAAAAATACAACACACACAGAATAAACTAAAATAAGAGAATTCCATTTATTGTATAGCAAACACTCTCATACAACTTAATTTATAGTCAAATTAAATACCATCACAGAAGTACAAATTCCATGATAACAAATATGTGAAATGGCATCTTCAACATCTCCACCAAAACAGAAGGCCAAGCAGCCTGAATATAATCTCCTAAGTAGAAACATCTCTAAATATGCTTTCTTCCCATCCTTACCTCAATTTTCAATCTAATGCAAAAGAAAAGTATTTCATGCAAGACAATCTCAAAATTTCAGAAAATTTTTATAGAAATTGAAGAAATGAAATATATTTGTAACAAAGAAATATCAGAGAAAATTCAATTATCAAAAGTGACAGTTTGAGTATTCCAATAATTTCATTTTCTGCTTAATAGAGAGTTACTGACCTTTATTTTAACATTAATTGGTACAATCCTCCTAAAATCTATATGGCCAGTTTTCTGGCATTTTAAAAATAGTATGAGGAAACCTCTCTTTAATAATCTAGAATATTCTGAAATTTTTGGATCTTGTGAATCTGGAAAGTACATGCCCATACATTTAAAGCCAAAGGGACAGAGGGAATTTGCTAAATATGTATAGATTGCAGCACATTTAATGAAAGCATTCATGTTTTTAAATAAATAAATAAGATAAGCAAGGAAGCTTGCTGTGAGTTCAGGCTTTTCATAGTGAAATACAGTCTGACTTTGTAGCATCAGAAAAAAGAAATCGACAGAACATCCAACTTTTTCGAACCATCTGAGACAGTGCTAGAGAACAGCTGTCAGACCCCAGCCTCTCCTCTGACCAGGCCTCTCAACTTCCCTCCTCACCTCTTTCCACAGTTCTCGCCCCCCTTCTCCTGTCTACAAGTATAAAGGCACAGGGCCGACAATGTAGCTCCCTCCAAAGTCAGGAAACATGAACAAGAAACAAAGGCTGATGCAACTGTATGGCAATACTTTTGCAGGATCACACTTGTTTCAAGTCCAAAAGAATAAACTTAAGACGAAATCTTAAACAGAACTTCACCTTTAAACTTAGGAAATCACTTGTGTGTCTCTGCACACCCATGCACACATGTGAGCACACCCATAAATCTATGCCACTGGACCTAAAATCGTTTACTGTAAGTTAGAAGACTTTCCAACACTCTCCTTTGGTGAAAACAGGGGAAAAAAAAAAAATCAACATTTTCTGAGAGCCTGCTACAATGCCAGGTACTCTATAAATGCTCACAGAGACAATCCAATTTAATTCCCATAATAACTTACTAAAATGGGCAGTTCGCCTATAAAGGATGCTGAAGGGGGAGATGCTAAGTAACAAGTCAAACTCCAGACAGTGATCACAAGTAACAGACGCAGGAGGCGGACCGAGGGTTCGGCCAGGCTCCTTCCCCTTCAGCGTTCTCTCCATTCCGCTCTGCTCTGCTGTCTCCTAGACACTACTTGTGGACAGTCTTAACAGTTAGGAAAAAGCATTAAAGGTAGCATCAGGCCATGGTTCACATGTGTCTGCAGCCTCCTCAATGCTGTGTCATTTCATTTAAGCACAAAAATTCCAAAGGGAGGGAGAGTGGGAAGCAAGTAGCAATATGAAATCTCTGTTAGTCACTTAAGAAAGAAAAAAAACAGTGACATATCTATGCTGCATATAATAAAACAAACCAAACCTGCGGCCTCAGAGTAAAAAGGCTTTTATGTCCTTATTCCTTCTCTTATATGATGGAAAATAATAATTATGCCTGGATCTGTAAGAATTCTGTATCTGAAAGAATAAGTTTCATTTTAACCAGTCATAATTCTGGAAACTAAACTGGAATTAAGATATTACCAGGCAGAATAAAAAGGTAGCACTGAAAAACCAGATGTTAACCACAATGGCTGTTGGTGAGAGCAAGAAACAAGAGAGCCATCTTTGAGACAACCTGATTTTTTTCTTAACATCAAAATTGTAATAATAATCAGTTATGTATACATAATGTCAATGAAGGGAGAAGGGGCTTCCCAGATGATGCTAGTGGTAAAGAAGCCGCCTGTAAATGCAGGGAGACATAAGAGATGCGGGCTCAATTCCTGGGTTGGGAAGATCCGCTGGAGGTGGGCACAGCAACCTACTCTAGTGTTCTTGCCTGGGAAATCCCAGAGACAGAAGAGCCTGGTGGGCTACAGTCCATGGGGTGGCACAGAGTCAGACACAAACGTAGCAACTTAGCATGCACACAATGTCAATGAATATAAATGGCATATCAGAGTCATCTAATGAGCTATTTGAGTATCAACTTGACTACAGAGTGAAAACTGAAAATTTTGTTTTTTAAATAATTTGGGGAAAATGTGTAAAATATAAAATAGTACAGAGACTAAGATAGTAAGCAAGCATGTATCTACTACCAGAATACTATTATTATCATTTTCTATTTCTATTTTCTATTATGCTTCTTCCACTTCTATCATCTATTTCCCTATTATTTTTAAGAATATATTCTTAATATTATTATTGGGAAATATTCTGACACATGTGCTTCTAATATTTTGAATAAAATATTAGATTGGCCAAAAAATGTATTCGGGTTTTTCCATTAGCTGGTACAGAAAAATCTGAACAAACTTTCTGACCAATATTTAGAACACTATAAATAAAGTCCTAGTATTGGCACAGCGATAAAGAACCCTCCTGGCAGTGTGGGACACATGGTTTCAATCCCTGGGTTGGGAAGATCCACTAGAGAAGGAAATGGCAACCTGCTCCAGTATTCTTGAAAAATCCCATGAACAGAGGAGCCTGGCGGGGAAGCCTGTCCATGGGGCTGCAGAATCGGATGCAGTCAAGCTTGCATGCACGCGACCTCCCACCCTATCCTCAACTCCCACTGCTCCACCACCCCCGATCCCTGGGTTAACTACTGGATGATTTTGTGTTCAACTCTCCACACCACACTCTTATACTTTTACCATAGGTACATAGGTGGGTGTTCATTGGAAGGACTGATGCTGAAGCTGAAACTCCAATATTTTGGCCACCTCATGCAAAGAGCTGACTCATTGGAAAAGACCCTGATGCTGAGAGGGATTGGGGGCAGGAGGAGAAGGGGACGACAGAGGATGAGATGGCTGGAGGGCATCACCGACTGGATGGTCATGAGTTTGACCATATCTGGGAGTTGGTGATGGACAGGGAGGCCTGGCATGCTGCGATTCACGGGGTGGCAAAGAGTCGGACACAACTGAGCGACTGAACTGAACTGAACCACAGGTACATATGTACCTCGCAGTCTTTCTTAATGGAACACACACTATAATTAGTTGAAAAAATATTAACGAGTAAAGATATGGCGTATCCGAATCTAAAACAGAAAATGATAGCTGCATTAGCTGCTCATACATATAGCATTGTTGTCAAAATCATACAAAAAGCGTTAGCTTAACTATGTGTAATTGTCACATACACACACACACACACACACAAAGACCTCTCACTTACTCCTATTAAGGACTACATACTTTTAATAAGATAAAATCACACTTTTCAGCATGAATTTCACTAGTTCACAAAGTCCTCAGCTTTTAATTTCAATTATGTTGAGCAATAAAAGATGTACAAACTCCTGCATCTGATGGAACTCCTGTAGAAATATCAAGATTCAAAGTGAGATATAGGTGAAGATTTTTATATCATTTTACAGCATATGAAACATTCGCTTTTATAGCATATGAAAGAATTTTAGTTACATAAATGTCATAAGTGTTGATTTTAAAACATTAAAGACATTAAAGAATCTGATTATAATAAAAAAATAGAAATTCAACTAGCATTTCACTGTTTATAAAAAAAAAAAAAAAAAAAAACTTAGCACTGTCTACACCTACTACCAACAATTCAAAAGGTCGAACACACCTCTCATAGCTAACAGAGCACCTGAACCTAAGTGTCAAAATGCAGAAGGCAGGTACAGTGGCAGAGTTCCAATCTTGCCAAAAGATGATGTCAGTCTACTAACAGTCAACACTCCCACTCCCCAGACGTGGAGCTGATGGAGGAAGGGAGAGAAAAATGAGAAAGGAGTGGCCTTGAGAGTCGCCAGAAGACTGCTGCCCCATTATCAGAAAAAAGTGTCAGTCACTCAGCCGGGTCCAGCTCTTTGCGACCCCATGGACAATCTTCTCCAGGAGACTGTCCCAGCCAGGCTCCTCTGTCCACAGGACTCTCCAGGCAAGCATACTGGAGTGGATTGCCATTTCCTTTTCCAGGGGATCTTCCCCACCCAGAGACTGAACCAACATATAAAAGGCCATGAAGATAGTTCCAAGAGCGCTTTAAGATAACTGAGGGAGAAGCACAAAACAGTAAGTGCCAATGCTACACTCTTCAAGGACCATTACTATTTTATACAATTAAACAGTTTTCAAAAAGTATTGTTTATCCTAGTATCACTGGCATTAATGAAAATAAGATTTTTTAGGACTCTGGAAATCTCCCCAGTGAGTTCGTACCCAAAGCATTAGACTCAGT